TTAGTAGTTTAGTACAGTACAGCCAATGGTTAGGAAGGCAATTTAAACAAGCTATGCATACTCTTGATAATATTTCACACACAAATCCTCTCAAGCATAGTCTACCCCCAATTTAATTAAGTAACATTTCATGGCCTACTCCCAATTTAAGTAAATGAAGCAAGCTTGGGGTGAGCCTGAGCAAGCCCCATTAAGACAACACTCTTCTGTGTCTATGTGTCTGTACACATAATTATGCATTCCATATCTCCTATATAATCACATGCCATAACAATGCATTAGCAATGTAATATACCTTAAGCCTACTATTTTTAGCGTCTACTAAATTTAGCTATATTAGCGAGAGAGCTTAAAACCGCTGAATTAAATAGACGCCAAAATAATTATTATTCATTATACTGGTTATTATTTATAGTTAATTTGGTTAAAAACTCTAAAATTAGTAACGCTAAACATGACTTTTGCTGATTTCGCTAAAATTAGTAGACGCAAATAATAGTAGGCTTAAGGTAACTAGGTGAATGTAAAAATTGAGGGGGCAAGCATAAGTCATCGATTGACACTTTTTGACTAACATTAAAATAAATAAATAAATACAGCTCTTAGTCTAATGTGAGAGAAAAGAACATTATTCTCCCTTTTTTGTGAGATCATTACCCGAACTAGCATGCATATTCAGATCCTGCCCTCATGGTTGGGGTCTGAACAGAGCCAACACACCAACTAAAACAACTAAAATAACCCAGTAAAAGAGGCTAGAATGAGTCCTACCACTATGAGGAGTGTGTAACTAAGAAACAAAGCTAAACTAGCTCTTCTTACAATCTTAATGAGAGAACTAATCTAGAAGAGTCTTAAGGTTACGGGATACAGTTTATGAATAATTAATTAGCTGTAGTTAATTGTTATTTCATTTGTTATCTTTTTGAAAATGACACTTCTTTCATTACTACTATCATTTTTAATGATGTATTTCTTATATAAGGTAATCTGTCCATCTTATACAGAATGACTGTACTTGATATAGGCTGGGTTAATTATAAACACTTATAAATCAAAAATCTCCAGTCCTGAACAGCAAAAGTCTCTAAAACAAATGGTAGCTCTTCTTGAGGCAAAAATGAAGGTCGTCACGATGAGATTTTTTGCTTTCTTTCTTCTTAACCTCAGAAAATCAGTCAAGAATGCTGAAAAAACGCACTAAAATGGCCGCCAAATAGATCTATGGTGTGACTATCTCCGTTTCTACTAAGTCCAGCCAAAAGAATGCCACGACACAACCTAGATATCAAACTTAGCAAAATATATACTTGGAGAACTATGTGAAATATGGCCCAGTTGAGCTTATTTTTGATTTATAAAAGTCCATTCCTTTTGACGCAGGGCAGCGCATAGCCATAAATAGATAAGCAAATGATAACTC